TTAAGTTTTGCATTCAAATCACTTCCACATTTGATCATTTTCCTTTCAGTTGGTTAAAAAAAAAGTTTTGATTTCATTGTTTTTATTTAAAAAACACACACACATCCCTGAAAATCATTTTGTGTGTATGTGTATTTAAAAATGCATACCCCCCCTTCCCCCAAGAACTCCCAAATTCCAATCCATAAAACAATATAATGCCCAAAGTAAGGGCCCTGGGCAGGGTGGCTCAGTGACACAGGGCTTGTTTCCAATCCCAGTAAAGCAGCCACTCTCAGGTATTCTCAGTTAATGGGTTACTTATTAGGGCAAAGGCTCTAAATGCCACCTCCCTAATCATACACGTCACTATATCTCACGTGTAAAAGGCTGATACTTTTGCTTGGATACTGAAACCCATTCATTCATTCAGGAGGTGCTTATTGAGCCCTTGCTCATGTGCAAGCCTGTGCTAGGTTCCACGGTTGCCAAGTGAGACTTGGTCAACACCTTGCCGGTAGTCAGTGGTCCTGAGACTACACTGAAGAACATGTAAACAAAAGCCCCCTAATCATTTCCTACATTTTGATTTAACCCAGAATCATTTTGCTTATAGATACAGAACAATTTTCAGGGGAAATTATATGATGCAGAGGTGTGGTTCTCTGTTCACACGGGGAAGTTTATGCTGGACAATGTTTGTAAAGTGATTAAGCATATTTTGACTATTTATAGGCTATGTTTTTGCTTCTGTGGAATATTAAATAGAACAATTTTTGTTTGGCTCTATTTATAATCCCATGTCTTTTTTCTTATTAAAAGAATAAATAGAACTATTCCACCCAGGTGCAGCCGTAGGCCCTTTACATGTTGTCTCAGCTTGCTTTCTGGAACTCACGTCATACCTTCAATTTTGGGACTTATTCCCTAAAACAAGTATAGTGTAGGTTTTGTTAAATTAGCACTTTAAAAGGTCACAAGTAATAGGGTTGCCTTTCATCTGAAATTATTCAGTTTAAGATTCATAATATATACCAAGTATATTTTCTTTTTCAAATTGCATCTGTTAGCATAATGATATTTGCTTTCTCTTTAAAGCATTTTTAAAAACTTCTATATTCACCACATTATCAAAGAATGATATTCATTAGGTGATGTCATTTGCTAAGTAGGGAGGAGTTAGCAGCAGGCCTGAAACGTTAGTTTAACTGACAAATCACGTTTACCTTAATAGACCATGTTGTTATGCTTACTTTACGTAAGAATTAGACATTTTAATTTTCTACCAATAAAGCCTTGTTATCTATAAATATAGAAGAAAAGGATACTTGAGCTAGGTCCCTGTTTAAATTATTTTAATCATATAGACATACCTATAAAATGTGTGATCTTGGTATATTTTTGAAAATGGTTGGAATAAGAGTTAACTATTGTACCTATTTTTTTTTTAAGTTGTAGCTGAATCAATGTGCGTTTGTTTTTAGGTTATTGTTCCTTCTTCCCATAATAAACTGTTTTCTTATATACCATCTGATATTGCTATTTAATTATTTCTGTGAGTTTGTCTTCCTAGTAAAATCTATGTTTCTTGAAATAAGGGACCTTGTCTTTAATATTAATGGTGTCTTCGGAAGTGCTCAGTTAGATTTTAGGCCTAGACTATTTGCTTGAAAATCACTTGCAAAATTGCACTGAACTTTAAAGAGAACGGCTAGCTTCCAGGTAGAGGAAGACAACCTGAGCTATCATTTCAAGAGCTAACTGGCTGCTCAGTGTGGGTCTTGGAATGCCAATTGAGAATAAAAATAGAATTGTCAAGACAACTATAATATTCATTGTTGGCCACTTAGAACAGCTCTGTGCTAATAACTGTATGAGAGACTATTTTAAAATTGAGAGGTGATTTGAGCATAAAACCAGAGCAGGAAGGGTTATTGGATGCGCTAGCTGACTGTTGTGCTCAGGGAGGGTGCCTGGTGCATCGGTCTCTGTCATAAGGGACTAATACCTGTGAGCATTGATAGGAAAGGTGGGAACTCGGGGAAGCCTTTCTATTGGATGGTCCTAGAGAGATGTTACTAAATTCTTGCTTCTCTACTCCTATTCCAGGCTTCATACAAAACACGCCGTGTCCATCAACCGAGTATTTCTTCATGCAGGTTAGAGTTGAATTGATGGAGCCTTAGCTAGTTCAGTTGAACTTGTTTAAGTCCACAGTCCAGGCATTTTAATTGGCATTTGAGGGTAAGTGGTTACTAGAACAACCCAGGCAATTCACAGATCATAGTTTTCCAACTCATACACGGTAAATTTCTTCAGGTGAATTATCTAACTTATACGCTATATTTTTTTCATAATTTCTTTTCGGGAAGTTGTTCTCTTCTTTGTTTGGGCTGTATTTAGATTTACAGCCTAGAAAGACACAGTCAGGATTATTCACCTAGTGAAGTTTGACATGTTATAAAATTATAGGCATAAAGCTATAGGCATCCTAGCTCAAGCAGATGACACCCCACTGGAGGGAAGAAGTAGTCTCCCTATATAAAAGCTGATAGGGAGTGTGTGTGTGTGTGTGTGTGTTTGTGTGTGTGTGTGTGTGTGTATGTGCGTGTGTGCACACACACGCGCGAGCGCTATTTTTTTAAAGTGCCTCAAATGGAAAACAACAATATTTTTCTATTGAAAACAGTTATGTTTGGCCACCCTAGTTCTTTCTCTTCATTCTGTAGGCAGCCTCTCTCTTCAGATCAGTCCATGAACTAGAATGCATTTTATTTTACACTCTAGTAGCTCATATTTTTGAGGCCTTCTACATGTCTAACATTCACAGGAAAATAAGTTGTTTCTTCTGGATGTCTCCAGACTGTGTGGAATTTTGTAAAGAACAGGGCAATCAGATTCAGAAGGCGCTGGCTGCACTGGATTATCCCGTCCGGGGCTGTGTGCTCTTATTCATTTACTCAGTGTCTCTGAGCCTCTGCATACTTTGTTTTCTGATGAAACGGCCTTTGCAACAATACCTATCTCATTTTACTTAGTGTGAGTGTGCTTTGTTGCTAATAGAATTTGGGAAGGTAAAAATCTTGTATTCCTTTTATAAGTCCAACCTGGATGACATATTTTTACAATCACTGGCATTTTGCAGTAAATATATATTATTTAAGAATACTTGCCTTTCCCAAACTTTTCAAATTGTATATGTTTGGGTAAATAGTCTTTGGAAATGAAATATAGTCAGAGATCCTATTACATTCATATGACTAAAGAATAGATCAAATTTATCATCAGACAGCAATGGGATATTTAAATTGTACATTTCAGGGACTACGTGATGAAGAGTTTTATTTCTCTTCATATAAAAGATCTAAGATTTTTTGTTTCTTTGTTCTTGACTTTACCATAATGTTTTATGGATCATAATGACTGGAAGAAACAACGTGACCAGTAAAGTCTCTGATTAAGACTATTTATCTTTTTGTTGCTAGAAACCCATTATTTTGCATTTGTGGTTAAAATCAAATTATTTTCTTTTAAATAAGCGTATAAGATGGTTTTTGAGTCCCAACCACTCTGCAATGTTTTCCTCTGTCATTGCTCCTTGATATTTATGAACTATGAGAGAAAGTTGAATTACATTTTCTTAGGACACTTAATTAGCAGAAACTGGAAACACAGGAAGGGCTGGAGAATTTCTCCATAAGTGGAGAACTGCTTTTTGTAAATATATTACAGTAATTTCTCAAATGGAAATGTTTTAATTTACTATTTACCAACTATTTCTGAGTCATGGTGTCTGCTTTTAGGGGACAGAAATATTACTTTTAATTTGATTTCTGTCTAGTGATTTTTGAATCTGATTTAATTCCAAATATAGATATGGCAGATATTTTCTCTTCTTTCTAGGAATAGAAACAACTAAAAGGATATCAGATTGATATGAAAACAGGAGGCCTTTCAAATAGCAAGGGCAGACAGATAAATGCACCCAAGTAATAGTCCTTGTGGAGGAATAAGACAGCTTAAACATGGGATTCTTATAAGTATTAAGTATAGAAATATACTTTATGAATTATAAATTATTACTAATTAATGAAGGATGAGTATGGAGTACAAATTTAACTTCTAGAACCTTCAAGTCATCATTTTGGACAGCCAAGTTTTTTAGACAAGGTTATAGCTTCAAATGATGACTTTTTAGAAAAAAATAGTTTTAGATATTTTTTTTCTAATAATTATCTGCCTTATTAATCAGAGCATAATGAACTTAACTGTTTTATATTCCTCAGCATTATTGTGAGCATAAAGGGCTGCATCACTACTCATTGAATTTAAGAGGATATTCCAATACCAGAGAAATCCAGATAGCGACATTTTCTGAATACCCATTTTTCTTGTAGAGGTGGAAATATCTGTAAAAAAAGAATAAGTAGGTTCTAGTAATGGCCTTCTCTACCTTTTTAACCTTTTCCTCTACTGGGAAGAATCTTCAAGCAAGATCTGTGCGTACCCATCTTAAATTTCCAAACCATAGTAGCGACATAAAGCTCATCAGGCTTGATGTCATGCACGGCAGTAGATGGTGCTTCACTGTTGCCTTCTAATGGCAGGGACTAATGTGATCACATGCTCTGAATCCCAAACACTTTTGCATTAGTAACAACTCACGATTCAATTCAGGAAACATTTTTGAGTATCTATGTACTCATTAATGAAGGACTAAAAGGAAACCTAAAAGTTAATTCTCTCAAAGGATTTTAATCTTAGACTGTGGCAAGTCTTGTTATCAGCTAACTGCAGTGCAAGGCTGAACAAATAAACCCCCCCGGCTTCCCAAACTCCAGTGATGTCTTTTGAATAAATACAGGCAGGTCTGTGGCGAGTTTTTATTTGGTTGTGTGTGTGTACTATATATACATATGCAATACATTACATGCAATATATGTATATTAGATGTATATGTATATATTTATATAAATATTTTGGCCTTATATTCATCTAACATTTTCTGTTTTATTCAACAGAAATCTTCTTGACAGAGACACATTTTCTAAATCTGATCCAAGTAAGTATCTGTTTACTTGCTTTTGATATTCTATTTATTTTACCTTCTGATTTTGCAACAATTGTATGGAACTCATAATTTTTGTTTAAATATTTGTTTTAAAGCCTGGAAAGAAAGAAGGGGGATGGACTCAAGCCCTGTGTGCTCATCTCCCTGGGCAGTACTCTACCTAGAGAGGGAGTTGCTCAGCTTTTTGAGAGTAGGATGGAAGTGCAGATGACTCCAATGCAGGACAGTTCACCTTTGAATTACAGTCTCATGCTATGGCCATGTGGCAGAAATCATATTTGAAAAACAATCATATGGGCCATGACTTTAAGTGTTTTAGTCACAGAGTAATACTCTTCCTTTTTTTTTTTTGTAAATGAAAGCAGTGTATGAGGCATATATAACTACGTGAAATATATAACATCTTGTATGAGCTGAATTTTTTGATTCCTAAGTAGAGATTTTGAAAATCAGAATAATTTGTAAAATAAAAAAAGATAGTTTGAATTAGAAAACAGCCAAATTAATGTATAAATCAGTTAGTACAAATTGTGTACTATTTAGAAGTTGATATCTAACTGCTCTCCATCTCCACAAATGTATGAAAAAATGTGGGTTAATTATAGGGGAAAGGTTTTGTCAGATGTTAGAATTCTTGAGGTAGTCATTGGGAAATGGTATTTTAATTTGTGGGTATTAAGTTTTCTGTAGCTCATTTGATAAGTAAGTGGGGCTTTTTTGTAATTCCTTAATCTTTACCCCAAACCCTTAATCTCCCATTTGCATCTTCTCTTTATGGTTGACAGAATTTCCTACCTGTTTACAAATGTGGTATATCTTGGAGATACACCTTGGAGGGTTCAGTTTCAGACCACCACAATAAAACGAGTATCTCTATAAAGAGTCACACAGATTTTTTTTGTATCCCATTGCATATAAAAAGTTATGTTAACACAATAATGTAGTCTGTTAAGTGTGCAATAGCATTATGTCTAAAAATATACACACCTTAACTAAAAAATAATATACTAACAAATGCTAGCCATTATTTGAGCTTTCAGTGAGTAGTAAATTTTTGGCTGGTGGAGGGTCTTGCCTTGAAGTTGATGGCTGCTGACTGATTGGAGTGGTGGTTGCTAAAGTTTGGGATGGCTGTGGCGATTTCTTAAAATAAGACAACAAAGAAGTCTGGTGCATCAGTTGACTCTTCATGAACAATTTCTCTGTAGCATGCAGTACTATTTGATAGCATTTACCCATACTAGAACTTCTTTAAAAATCGAAGTCAATCCTTTCAAGCCCTGATGCTGCTTTATCAATAAGTTTATGTAGTATTCTAAATCCTGTGTTGCCATTTCACCAGACTTCACTGTATCTTAAGTAGGGGTAGATTCCATCTCAAGAAACCACTTTCTTTGCTCATCCATGAGAAGCAACTCCTCATCTGTTAAAGTTTTATGATGCAATCACAGCAATTCAGTCACATCTTCAGACTCTACTTCTAATGCTAGCCCTCTGGCTGTTTCCACCCCATCTGCAGTTACTTCCTCCACTGAAGTCACGCTCCTCAGCGTCATCCGTGAGGAGTGGAGTCAGCTTCTTCCAAACTCCCGTTAATGTTGATATTTTGCCCTTGCCACATGAATCAAAGAAGTTCTTAATGGCATCTAGACGGTGAAACCTTTTCAGGAGGATTTCCATTTGTTTCACCCAGATACAACAGAGGAATCGCTCTCTATGGCAGCTATAGCTTTATGAACTATATTTCTTAAGTAATAAGACCTGAAAGTTGAAATTACTCCTTAATACGTGGGCTGAAGAATGGCTGTTGTGTTAGCAGGCATGAAAACAACAACAACCTCATCGTATATCTCCAGCAGAGCTCTTGGATGACCACGTGTAGTGTGGATGAGCAGTAATATTTTGAAAGGAATCTTTTCTTGTCTGAGCAGTAGGTCTCAACAGTGGGCTTAAAATATTCAGTAAATCATGTTGTAACCAGATGTGCTGTCATCTAGGTTTTGTTGTAGACTTAGCATAATTCCTAAGGGCCCTAGGATTTTCCGAATGGTAAATGAGCATTGGCTTGAACTTTAAATCACCCGCTGCTTTAGCCCCTAACAAGAGAATTAGCCTGTCTTTTGAAGCCTTGAAGCCAGGCGTTCATTTTCTTTCCTGAAACCTCATGAATCAAGCTTCTGTTAGCTTCAGACTTTTCTTCTGCAGCTTCCTCACCTCCCTCAGCCTTCAGAGAACTGAAGCGAGTTAGGGCCTTGCTCTGGATTAGGCTTTGGCTTAAGGGAATGCTGTGGTTGATTTGATCTGTCCAGACCACTAGAACTTTCTCCATGTCAGCAATAAGGCTGTTTTGCTTTCTTATCATTTGTGTGTTCACTGGAATAGCACTTTTAATTTCCTTCAATAACTTTTCCTTTTGCATTTACAACTTGGCTAACTGGCAGAAGAGGCTTAGGGCCTGTCTTGAGGAAGGTCTTTTGACCTTGGCTAACTGGCAGAAGAGGCTTAGGGCCTGTCTTGGATTTTGATAGACCTTCCTCACTCAGCTTTATCATTTTTAGCTTTTGATTAAAGTGAGAGTTGTACAACTCTTTCTTTCACTTGAATATTTAGGGGCCATTGTATGGTTATCAATTGGCCTAACTTCACTCTGGTTGTGTCTCAGGGAAGAGGGAGGCCCAAGGAGAGGAAGAAAGGCCTGGGAACGACTGGTCAGCGGAACAGTCAGAACACACACAACATTTATCAACTAAGTTTGCCATCTTATATTGGCACCCCAAAGCAGTTATAATAGCATCATCCAAGATCACTGATCACAGATCACCAAAATCAAAATAACAATAATGAAAATATTTGCAGTATTGAGAGAATTACCTAAATGTGACACAGAGGCACGAAGTGAGCAAATGCTGTTGGAGAAATGGTACCGATTGTCTTGATTAGCACAGGGTTGTCACAAACCTTTTATTGTAAAAAAAAAAATGCAATATCTACAAAGTACAATAAAATGAGGTATGACTCTATTGAGGATGGGAGTATAATTTGTTCTAGGTTGTCCTTCTGGTGATGGCTTTGAGTACAGTAGGTATTTAGGAAAAATTTCTGACTTATGTCTAGTAGCATACTGAAATGTCTTAAACCACAGTTTTAAAAGTTACCTACATCTGTAGCATAATGTAGAGACATTAGTAAATTATCATTATATTTTTTTATGTGCCAAGCTCTCTATCTAATTAAGTTTTAAAAATCTGATATAGTTTGTTCTTTGTTTCTTTACACAAAAAATTCAGCCATTTAATGATTTACTAGCAATTTTCTGGCAAGAGGAGGGCCGGAAATTAGGAATTAATTTTGGTGTTGTTTTTGAACAGTAGAAAAATAATTGATGCATTCATATCTGATTTTTATAAATGACATATATATGTTTTTCATCTTTTGTAGTTTGTGTCTTATATATACAAGGAGTTGGAAATAAAGAATGGAGAGAGGTAAGAATTAAAAATTTTTAAAAATCACTGTGCTGGAAGGCAGGGTATAAGTTACAATTTGAGGATGATACTTTCCTGGTTTTAGTTATTTTAAGTCTTTTTAAATCCAAAATGAATTTCTGCTTCGTTTTGTGAAAGTAACCGTTGTGTTTTATTTTTAATAATCCTGAATATTTGGCTCATTTATGACTTTCCTGTGGAATATTCTAGTCTTGAAACTTGTATTTTCCTCAGTCAAAAGTAAATTTAATGTGTTTCAATTCTTATGTAACTGAAGTCTTACTTTTGCAGGTCAACTGCTGATTTTCTAGAATACCATTTTAAGGAGGGGGGGGGTTAAGTATGCTGCGTGATATCAACTATCCCCTGCTTATTGCCAACTTATTCTTTGAAAATAAAGTAGAAACTTAGTTTCCTAATACAAATATACTTTGTTTAGTAAAACAAAAGCAATGAGGCAGAATTTCTATTTTAGTCCATTTACTTTCTAATGCATGTCTAGGTTCCAATGCAAACATGGATGCTGGAGGGGAGAGGAGCATATTCAAATAAAAGGCCTTTCCATCTGCTTGTAGCTGCTGGTTACCCCAGGAATTTAGTGCATTGTTTTAATGAGGTTACAGTTTCTGGTGAGATTTCCCTGGTGAGATCCGTGCTCTTTGTCGCCACAGATTGCTTTGCAGCCAGCCATTTTACCCATGTGTCTCAGTCGTGAGAGAGAGGGCAAGAGCAGATCATTATAATTTATCCTCGAAACTGAGAGAGCAAACCAATTCAAAAAGTGTCTTTACTGACAATGGGTAGGTGGGATACTGAGCACCAGTTTCTCTTACCTAATTGCTTCCGGTGATTCGATATTTATGTCAAACTCTGCATATACAAGTGTCAGCTCACCAGGCTTGCTTCTTCTTCGCTCCAATGTAGCTGATGACATCACCAGCCAAAATACCCAACTGCAGTTTCTGCAGCCATCCTTGACTTTCTTCCTACACCTCCTTCATTTAATCGGTTATTGAGTGTTATGAATTCTTTTTTCATAAAAAATATCTCAGATAAGCCGTCTCCTTTATTCAGACCCATGTTATCTTTTGTTTTCTTATGAGTCTCTGTCCCTCTCTCTTGTTCCTCTAGTTATTCCTTTGATTATTTTCCTGAGGGATATGCTTTTCTTTTGTTATTTGCTCTACAGTTCATTTTCTCAAAGGCCCGGGACAATGCGGTGGAACTGCTGACTGACCATAGGTCAGGAGTGTTTAGAAAATAGCATTACTTAAGAGGCCAATAAAGAACTGAGATAAGATCCATAGGTACAGGAATAGGCATCTGGACCAAAGCAAATGCCTAACGATGAGGCTTTTCTGATGCTTAAGCAATGAGATACAGATTTCTTACTTGTTAGGTTAGGTGGTTCAGGAGGCGGCGCAAGAAATAGAGAGTCCAGTGAATCAGAAAAGAAAGGAAAGGAAAAGGTTTATTTCTGCGTCCCCGGGAGACCCACGTACCCCCAAAGACAGGGCACGTGGATTCACGCCAACAGGGAGGGGGGCGCTTTTTTTATACTGCGGTTGGGTGAGGGGCGGGGACATGAGCTGAGGTGTTCAGTTGAGGAAGTTTCAGCTGCAGGGGGGGATTCACTGGACTCTCTGTTTCTTGCGCCGCCTCCTGAGCCACCTAACCTAACATTACTTAATTTACGAGGTCTTTTGTGATAATAATGACTAATGTTGTAAGCCCTTTAGATATATTGACTAATTTAATTTGCACAACAGCCTTAAGGGGCAGATATTATTTTCATCCTTATTTTACCCCCGAGGAAACGGAAGCGCAGGAAGCTTAGGTGATTTGACAAGAATTACCCAGTGGTAAAACACAGAGTAGAGATTGCAACCCAGGTCATCTGGCTTCAGAGCCTCTGCTCTTAGACCACCTTGCTTTCCAGAACCCTTTTCTAATCCCAACCTTTATGTTTTGGTTTTATTAATGGAAGGACATTCTATAAATTGACCTTTGGAGCTTTATACTTATTCTTTAAGGTTTGACTCTGAAGGAAAGACAATAGGAGAGGGAGGCCTACTATTTAAGGGAAAATTGTGTAATTACAAACAATAGCGTGGTGACTGGTGTGAGGGGAGGTGGGTGGAGGTGGAAGAGAGTCTATGGGGGATACATGGTGATGGGATAAAATAAATAAGTAAAAATAAAAACAGGAAACGATATTTTACCTGTTTATTTTTTCTCTTTGAAGGAATAGAAAGTACTAGTAAGAGGCAATAACACTCAAATGGGGTTATACAAACAAAGTAGAAAGTGACAAGAAATAGGATGCAGAATCATATAGAGTGAGTGGAAGGCAGGTGGACAATATGGGGAAATGCCAGTTAAGAGGCAATTTCAATAGAATTGCAAAAGACTTAAAAGTGTTAAGAACTAGAGAATGATCTGCAAGAATAGAAAGGAAATGCCAGATGCAAGAGACAAGCATTTTGTAGCTAAAATCTCTTGCGGTTAGCAGCTAATTGATCATGCTGGATAAAGGAAAGAGATGGAAAAATGAAATACACTATGTATGTTATTCAATTATCCCAAACCACTTGAGAAAGACAGTTTCCTTATTTTGAGCACCAGTGTAATAGAGCGATTAAGAGAGTGCACCTGTCCTCTCAGTGTTTCTGTTTCCCCCTCTGTAATGTGGGGAATGAGATAATGATTCTAGCTCATGTGGTTGCTCTGAGGAGGAAATGTGAACCACCCATAATGACTCCGTGTCTGGCATATAGTCAGCACTATATGATTTCGCATACATTGGAACTCTAAGAGATCAAAAATTTTCATAAGCATAATAAAACTAGTAAGTGGCAGGTAAGTAAATTCCTGCATTATATATTCCGTAAAATTCATTGCACAAGTTGATGGGAAAATGACCTAAGGGATTTACTTGGCCTCAAACCTAATATAAAGCTGTGATGTTATACAGCTGCTAAAAAGCTAATGCAATCTGAGGATTCATTGATGGATGTGCAGTGCTTACATCAAGGAAGATAATGCTGTTAATGTCGAGCTATATGAAATTGTCATTTTTGTAGGTCAAAAATGGTTGTATTGGCAATTTCATGTCATTGAATCAAACACTATTGTATTTTGCTTTGGTGGGAGCAAACCTAGAATGTTATTTTTCAACCATTCAAATGCCAAGTGTGTATTTAAGGAGGGCTACCATCTTGAAGAAAGGTATGGAAGTTATGCCATATCAATGAATGAATGTGTAACCTGAAAAATACAAAGATTCTGAATAGAATAGTCATAATTATTATCCTCGAATTCTTATTTTCATTTAGAAATGGGGCTATACTTAACTTGACATTCAAACAAACAAACAAAAAGGGAAACAAAAAATTTGGCCCAAAGGATGGAAGGACAAAGAGGCTTTATATAGTCCACTGTGAAGAAGACATTGGTAACATTTATTTATTTATTTTTATTTTATTTATTTATTTATTTAAATATATTTCTTTATTGATTTCAGAGAGGAAGGGAGAGGAGGAGAGAGAGAAACATCAATGAGGAGAGAGAATCATTGATCGGCTGCCTCTTGCACGCCCCCCACTGGGGATCGAGCCCACAACCCAGGCATGTGCCCTTGGCCTGAATCGAACCTGGGACCCTTCAGTCCACAGGCCGACGCTCTATACTGAGCCATGCCGGCTAGGGCAACATTGGTAACATTTAGAGTATCCCACAGTAGAACAGGTTTTTAGAACGGTACCCTGGACTCTAGTGGTTGTCCTGCATTCAAACAGGTGTTAGACTGATTCACCAGGTAAGAAGTTGCACTTGATTGGCTCTAATTTCCTCCCAAGTCTATGATTTTATGGTGGGTACTCATCAGTTCACCGAAGTATCTTTTAAGTATTGTACATTTTTTAAAAATATAATAGCAAAAATCAGTATAATAAGGTGTGTGTGTGTGGGGGGGGGGAGGGGCGGAGAGCTTTCCTCCACCCTTCTAGCTTCTTCTAGTTGGTCTAATAATAAAATAGACAAGAGGCAAATTAACAAAAGAAAATGTCCAAATTTAATTACAAATGTGCATATGGGAGCCCCACATGCATGAGAGAGTTACAGACCCCACATACCCAAGGGGTTCAGCTACACAAAGGCAAAATGAGGCATATATGGCATTCTGAGCTAAGGATGAGGTGAGGCACCTTGGTGCTTCCGAGGTGAGGAAGGTCATTGCAGGATGATAAGAAGCACACCTGGTCAATAATTAAAAGTTTGCCCTGTCCTGTAGACATTTCATAAAAAGTTATTTCTGGTGATAATTCATTTTATGGGCTGGGGCCGTTATTTAAATTCTTTAAAGGAGAGGGAAAAGGTTCTCTTGAGTCCTCAGGGTCTCGATTGCTTTCAGCTTAAAATAATTCATATGCCTAAGTGCCTCACCTTGAGGAGGACTGGTTTGAACAGCTTTGATAATTATTCTCAGGATATTTGGAATCAGACAAGTAAAAGGATATTATAGATGCTTGATTAATAATTTTAAATATATCCATCCATTTATCAATTTAACCTATATTTACTGGGTGGCTCTCAGCTGTAGTGATGTGTGAAAATGTAAATTAGACAATATTTCTACCTCAAGGAGCATGCAATATCGTTGGAGAATTTTATCAGGAACGTCAGTATGTTTATGCAATCAAGTTACTGATTTAGGTGTCAGCACTGTATCAATAATATAGTGGTTGTGTTTGTGTTTGAATTTAGATGTATTCTTGAAAAATATGTAGTAACTAGCCACATGATTTTATGTTCTGGGATGAATTACTTTTATATATTAAAAAGGAATAAAAAAAATAAAAAGGGGCCTAACATGTTGAAACAAATGCTCCGAATAAAGTGATAGAAAAATTATTTTAAGTTATTCTATAGCTGAAATCTGCAATTTTAAAATTATGTCTGACACTATTAGAATTACATGAATATCAGTAAATTCTATTTAA